AATAGCAATTTAAAAATTCTGATTTGATGGAAAGATTAGAAAATCCAATAGAGATCTAAATACCTCTTATAGTATATTAAAACTTCCCCTTTGTTTCTACATGCTTTTGCTGTTTTCTTTGCTCAAAGGGTCATAGCAAATGTAGTAGAGCAGGTTTGAGTGTCTCTCTTAGCTTGCAAGACTGTCTTTGCAGATCGAACAATCATTAAGAAAATGAATCTCATTTTTGAAAATAAATTTTTACATACTATAAGTGGCTTCTTTTGAGTTATCGATATCACTAATTATAAACTATAACTGTTTAAAATTAAAACACTCTCATTCAGATAAAACATGAGTAATTCTCTAATGTAATTCAAATGGTTTTCCTTTTTTAAACCTGTTCTTTTTCCAGTTCAAGATACACATTGAAGAACTGATTGGTCATTGGAAAGGATTCTTTCATAGTTAAAATTTTTGGTATAAGAGCATCTACCTATGTGGAGCCACTATTTTGAGTAAGTCATGATTATTTTCATACAAAAGGTTGAAGATGAAATATACCTTGAATACTCAATTTGTTTACATTTTCTCACAAAATTGAGAATTTCTGCTGAGCTATATGAGTAAATAGAATAAGAAAAATCATAATATTTATATATGACTTTTTCTCTTATTTCTCTCTTCTAAAAGTTCATTCTTCTCATGTTTGATTAGTAATAATTTTCAAATCTTACATTCACATGTCAGTGACCAATAATTATTTAGCCACTTATGTCTTTCTCCACCACCCTCTGACCAGAGAAGTCTTCTCTAAAACCTAGAATATTTAGAAAATGCATCTTGGCTGGTCTTCTATGAAAGAAAAAAACAAAACAAAATGATAATTTGTCTTTAATGTTATTTTCATCAAAGGGGAAGATGATTTTCCACTGACCTAACATCATCTTGATATAAGAAGAGGACAGTTCTTATCTTATTAATTACTGATTGGGAAACTGAAGCCCAGATACACTAAAAAACAGCTAACTTGCCCATAGTTACTGTGATTATGACAAAGACACAGATTCAGAATCCAAGACAGAGCTCAGATATTCATCCTAGGATTGAATCCTAGTTTTCCAAAAAGTTGTTCTTTCTTCTCTCCCTTTCCATCTAGACCACAAGAGAAATACTCCTATATGTAACAAAGTATGAAACACAACATTCACATGATTACAAATATTCATATTTTAAAGTTATCCATGTACAGTATGTACACTCTAGACAAATTTTCTGATTACCTACATGAAATTTTGGAAAGGAGACATAAAATAATTTAAAAGATAAAAATTTTACAAGATAGTGGAATTTATTAGGGACATGACGAATAATTTCACTAATAGCAGCCACTGCACACTTCATAATCATTGCTCTGAAGACTAATTTAAAAATAAAGATTTTCTAAAAGAATTTAGTTATTTAAAATAGAACAAGTGAACCAAATCTCCTTAAAGTTAAGGACAGAAAACTGAGATTTTCATTTAGGCTCCAGTAAGATTAGCTTTCAAAATGCATTTTAGTTAGCAGTCATAATTAATATTCCTATTAAAGTGCTGGGTACTCGGGGAATATATATCTGTTCTAAGGAACAATTTAAAACTCCAAACTTTCTAAATCTCCTACATGTTTTTTTTTAACTGAACACTTCGGACATTTGTGTTGCTATTGGTGTTCAGTTGGTGAGTCATGTCCAACTCTTTGCGACCCCATAGATCAGAGCCAGAGAATTAGAAAGGACATTTGTACTGCTATACTTAATGTAAGATGAAACCTGTGTCATAACAAAATAATTTCCATTTTAACAATGAAGTCTGTGTATCTATTCAACATCTATGGCCAGACCATTCTAAAGACTGTTTATGTCAACGTGGTACATGAACTGCTTTGAATTTGTCATCTGCCTTTTGTGTTCCTATTTGCCTTTATCATAAGCTCCTCTACTAGATCAATGTAGTGCAATAATATCCTAATATAGACTGATAAAACTTGTCATCCTGATATGCAGCTCACATTTTTTTTTTTTGTTTGACTTCTGCTATCACATTGCAACCACCTGTCCAAGGTACAGCATCTGATCTTATACATTATCATAGAAGAATATTGAAGATGTGTAAGTTGTTTTGGAAAATGTTCCAATTTTAAATACATATCTATTTACTCCTATTATTATATTGTTCAGAAAGATAATAATTAAAAAAATTTATTCTGGATGCACCGAGAGCATCTATACAGCGTAAGAATAAAACATGCAGTCCTCTGGTCCCCCAAAAGAGAACCTTCTGTCTATGTGCTGGTTGAGGCAACAGAGAACATGATTGTATCATTATTGGACATATTAAAGTAAGCGCTCACCCTTTACCCGAGTCTGAGTAAGTTTGACTGGAAAGAGTTGTGGATTATGAGAACCTATAAGATTACTCTATATACAATGTTTGCTGAACACATGCATTCCTGCTGAAAACAGCAGAGTGTATTCAGCACCACATAATGTCATGCACACAGGAACAGGGGTGACTGGAAAAGAATACTGTGATAACCACACCATAAATAAGCAACTGATCCTCTTCCCTCCTTTGTACTAAAGTAGTTCCAAGCCATATGTTTCTTTTCCCAATACATAAACATCAGTATTGTAGGTCAATTAGATGAAGTCAATGTTAGAACACAGTAAATATTAGCAACACTAATAAGCAAAGGTATGGATTGCCAACTACAAACCACTCTGATGTTTCAGAGTTACTCATACTTTTACACCAACCGTTATTTCTGAAGCACGTGGCTAAAGTTAAACTAACCATTTCTGTACTCAGATTATTTTTTACCACTCACTGTTGAAAGCTTAGGCAAGCTTGTCTCAGATATGGTTATTTAGAAAATACCCTGAAATTCAATAAATATGAGAGGTCAAGGAAAAGTACCATCCTCATCATGAAAGCAGTGGAGTCCCACTTTCAACGTTGATTTCTTACACCATGATTACTTCATTGTCCTGTGCGTATGGTAGGTAGTTATTGTAGCATAGCATGAAGACGTGCTACTCTGAAAACTTCCATTATGGATAATGGAAGTTATGGGCACAAAAATAGGAAAATGAAACCCATGGCACATAACATCTGTCCTGAAATTCCTAGATTAAAGAGGCACATCTTGTGGGCATGTGAAGAAGCTCTAATAGAAATTCTAAAATATCAACTGTTTTTACAAATCACTTTGCTTTATACTTCTCCAGGCAGATGGTCATAACTTGTCCTTTAGTTGTGTTGTTTTTGTTTGGGGATCCTGGGAGATAGTTTAAAAAGCTCATAAAAATGGGTACAATACATCAAAATATCTATTTTGATTTTGCTATCACCTCGTGTATGTTAATATATATGTACAGATGGTCCAATAATATACAAATTACTGTTATATATTTTCAACTCAATGCAAACAATAACTGTCCTACTTCCACTATTAAATGTCATTCATGAACCAATTTAAAAGTATGCCTCTCTGATCAACTTTATAAAATAAACTTTAGCCAAAAGAAATAAACTTTTCTAAGTTCTTACAAATGAATGTGCATTTTATTCTCAATACATAGCATTTGAGAGTCTAGCTATACACGATCTTCTGTTACTTTTTTTTTAGTTGATAATAGGCACTTTCTAAGAAGAGGATTTGTGACCCAAAAGACTGACATTTGGTCTTTAGTACCCTCCTTTCATAAGCAGATCTGCCTGAGCCATAGTAGTCTATTGTATCAACTCAGAAGTCCGGCAGTAGAACTGTGTGCAAAAAAAGCTTTAGAAAATTGTAACTAGAATAATATTATAGAAAAGCAGTTTTCTGAGTTGGGCAACTTAACATCTATTTTTTTAGTGTTTTTTTTTTTCTAACCACATTTCATGTAGTACCTCTACAAGCAGTAAGAATCAGGTGTGAACAATTCTGTACTTGTGTTCCATTCTTTCTAAGTCACAAATATGCTACAAACCTTATATTTTTATATTCTTTTTTATTTTACATCATTCTAGTTAAATTTTGTATATGTTTGCTTGGTTTTCTTTTGCTAAGAACCTTTCAAGTTCATCTTTGAGCAAGTTAAAAAAAAAAAAAACAAATTTAGAACATTCATCCCCTTTGGAAAATCAGCATCTCTAATGTAAATTGTTAAAAGACGCTTTTACCCTGTGGTGCAGTATTCCTATAATAATATACACTATATTAATAGTTCAGTATTTATGGGGTTGAAAAACATGAGCTTATAAGATGGTGGCTGCTATCCAAGATGAAGGGAGTAGGGATATCCTTACATAAGAGTTAATGATTACTATCTAAGTAAACGTTAAACAAGAAGTACAGTTGAGCAAAAATGCAATTCATGCACAAACCCCAGAGTATAAGTTCCATATCCCATGTCGATGTCTGACTGAGGCAACAAAACAGTTATTTCAATGGAGCAAACACTGCCTGTTGTTGAAAATAACCTAACACTATGCTACAGAAAAATATCCTATGGAATGAGATCATAAAATGGCACTAATAGTTTAAAAGGTTGAATGATTCCTTGGCGTTAATTTATAATTTTAACTTAACAGAAGACTGAGGAAATGACAGATCAGTATACTCGGCCTGAGATCAAATTTTTCATGGCAACATTGGCAGGTTGGACCCTGATTCTTCAACTATTACACTGTCTTGGTTAACAAAAGTCATACTTTTTAAAATTACAGAAGATATTATAAATGAATGTAAATTGTGCATGCAGTCAACTGCATAATATACAAGCAATATCTACGTTTTTAATAATTATCTTCTTTGGCAGGCCAGAATCCAGCTGGACATGCAATATTTACACATCAAAATCCATATTGTGTTCATCATATTGAAAGCAAGTGAAAATATATATATATATGTATATACTGTATATACACACATATGTATATAGATGTATATACTGTTTTTAATATATTAACAAATATATACGTATATATATATTAAAAGTGGATTTCATCTTTGTCAGATTCAGGTGACTCAGGCCTTGAAACACTAAAAATATCCTGACAGGGTATCTGAGGAGGTACTTGGAGAGGCATTTGGGATTTTGGAGAAGAGAGTGGGGGTGCGCTTTTCTCTGAGAGTATTTTTAAGATTTCTGCCACCTGCTTCTCCAGGGCAGTCATTCTGCAGCTTAGCAGCTGAATGTCCTCTTTGAGTTCGTGTTTGACTTCCTGCAGTGTGGTCTGTAAGGCCTGCTCGGGGATGGGATAGAAGGGGTGTTTGGCATCAGCCTGGATGGGGCTGTGCTCTAATGGACTTCGTGCCTCCCCAGCCTTATCCAAACGAAGGTCACTTTTTGTAATCCCACTGTCACAGGAATCCGTTTTCCTTAATGGGTTTTTGGTGACACTGTTCTCTGAATCACTGCCCTTGGGGTCCTCGGACAATAGCCCCATCGACTCAGCTTTAGTGACGTTATTCCAGTCTTCCTTCTTCTCCTCATGGGCTCCCATGTTATTCTTGAGTCGCAGCCACCCTTTTCCATTTCCATTCTTCATCCTTATGGGGCTGTTGACTTTGAGGCATTTGGGGTCAGCGCCACCACCGGGCTTGAGCTCCATGGCGTCGCGGTTGTTTTGCTTGAGGGACTCGCCGGTTTTCACGTAGGCCAGGGACGTCTGAATGGGTGTGATCTGTGACACGGTGACCACACTGGTGCCGGTGATGGGCGCGCCATTCTGTAAGGCGCGGCTTTCTACCTGCAGCTGGTTCCGCTCGGGGTCACTCTGCGTTGACCCCTGATTCCGCAGCTCCTTCTGCTGCTTGAATTTCTGGAAGAGCTTTCTTACCGGATGGTCCACGGGGATGCTGAGGGTGACCTCGTTCTTCTGCCTGAGGCGCTCCTCCTCTTCTTTCTTCACATCACTGATTTTGCGGAAAATGATCTGTGGAGGGGCAGAAAGATTAAAAACTTGACTATAAAAACAGATGACTTTATACCTGTGTGACAAGATACCAGGTATATTTTGTTTTCCAAAGGAAACTCCTGAAGATAGGGCAAGTAAGACCACTTCTGAAGGGAGAAGCGGTCCAGTGCCAGTTAACAGGTACAATACACTTGAAATCAGACGTAGAAACTGACTCAGCTTTCTCAGCTCATTTTGTCCCACTTCCTTGCATATCAGAGGGGGAATGTAGTAAAGAGACAACTAAATAGAGCTATTTGCTTTCTTGTTCACATTCCCATTTCACAGAAAATATACAAATACGTAAATATAAACATCTATTAATATGTTAGTATATATGTATATGCCTATATGTATACATGCATGTGCAAGAAAACATTTATCTCTTTGCAATAGATCACTATTTTCTGTAAGTTTTTCTTTTTGATCATATTAATATGATTCAAACCCATTCTTAATGTTACCCTCTGTTTAGCGGTCAAATAATAAGCGTTCTAAGCTATAAAAATACTGAAAAGTTAGGCAGTCTAACAATATAGCACTGTGAGTTGGGTGGAAGGAGGGATTAAATTTATTTATGTGGCTCTGAGGCCAGAACAAGGATTTATATATAGAAGCTTCGGGAAGGTAAATACCAGGTCAGTATACAAACTTCATTTCAATCTACTACGCATTAACTGATTACACTGCCTCAAAAACTCATGAAACTCACACCACTAAAATATTCGAATAGAAATAAGAATGTTGTCCATGTAATAATTCTTTCACTGAGTAGGAAGCTGGACTCTTCAAATTCCAATATTTTAAAAATTCAAATGTAAAGTTAAATACATAGTACATGCAGGATTAGATGAGCACTCACAAGTAAGTAAGCATAGATTTTATTAAAAATGTGTTTTGAAAATAATATTGTGAAGAAGTTACACCCCCATCAAGAAAAATATAAAAGGCTGACTATGTAAGAAATTATTACCACTTATATTATCAGAGTCAGAGGTGAATTTGGAAAGTGCGAGATTTTTTACTCAGTCTTCTAAAGAACAAAATAACTACAGATGAGGGTTATATGGAATATTCACAAGGGAGTTATATTAATGTGCTTTCAGAATCAGATAATTTTATGATGCTAGCAAAATTACTTGCCTCCATCACCCTCTCTTATTAAGCTGTTGTTGTATTAGAAATACATGTGAAGTATATAGTCTCTCCCATGTAATAGACTCTCAGAATATGTTGATTATCTCCCTTGAACTCTCATAAAACACTTTCTGTTTGATACCATTTTCATCACCTCTGTCTCCGTATAGGCATTGATCTTATGCTAGAACCAATACTAGTGATGATGACTATAAACAGAGAAGTCAGGGAGAAGCAATTCTCCCTATAAAAGCACATTTTCTAAATTGATATTGATGCACTAAATATAGCTTATCAAGAAGTAATAATTTATATTTTAAAATAAATATTCTCTAAATTCAGTTACTGTCTATAAAGACCAGCATATTTTCGCTTCTCTACTAGTACATGAAATGGATCTTTTTGACAAATGTAATTCTAATCTCTTTAGTCTGCCATCAAAGCTCCAGCAGTTTAATAAGAAGCCTTTCCAAGGGTTGACATGTTTCTCATGCTTCCTAGGTAAACAAGGCTTGTGCTAAACTTCAAGATATTAACACTTTTTGAGACCAGACAAATCCAAACATGGAAATGAAGATACTCTATTCCTGGATCATTCCCTTTCATTGTAAATGCAGTTACTTTGATTCTATGCACTGACATAAAGGGATTAATGTAAATGGTAGGTCACATCCTTCTTACCACTGGACTCCAACCTTGTTTGTTTTTAAATGTAGTTACTTAGCATTGGAAAGACACAGCTGAGATTACCCTTCACATTTAGGGGGTGGGGAAATGCATCTATGTCAAATGAACAGTGGAGGAGGGCAAGTGCTTGGCGCACAGGGATGTCAGATAAAGTACAAGACATCCATGCAATATTTAGGACACACTAAAAAATCATATATTATTTATCTGAGTGGGATGAATTTATACTGCCATGTGAGGTTCACAGATGAAAGATTTGGGATTCCTGGAGACTGAGAATCTGTGGGCATCTTAAGCCATACCTTTGTGCTTTAAATTTTCAATACAATGGCTAATAATTGCTTATAATTATTGAGTGCTTACCAAATTTGGGATGCTTTGTGATTTAAGGATGTAATATGCCCAAGTAAAACATCAGTTAAAAAAAAAAAAAGCCTTCTTTCTCCAGTTTCCTTTACCAGCCAGGCCCTCCCCAGTATCAAAAGCCAACAAAGGCCTTTGACACTGCTCCCACCAAGTGGAGAACAAAGACTCCTAATGCCATGCTACTGAGCACAAGGTGAGTTCTGTGACAGGGCCAGGCTGCCACTCTGCAACCAGGGACAAATGAGATAAAACTGGGCTGGCATATTTTGTCACCAAGAAGATGTAAAAGGAAATGAGAAAAAGAAAGAATGAGGTTTTCTATATGAAAAACAGAATCCAAAGAATTCATACCTGGATTTCATCAACTATTTAGCATAAACAGACTTGTAAGTCAGAGGTCACTTAAAAAAAAAAAGTTTAAATTGAATGGAGTTTGCTGAATGAGACTAAATTTATTTATTTTGACCTGTAGAACAGAAATTATGACTTATTCAAAAATACTTATAAAAATACTTATCAAAAATAATTATAAAAAAAGAGGTCACTTCTACAGGTATATTAACTCATTTAACTGTCACTACTCCTCTATGAGATAGGTCCTATTATTGTCATGTTACAGAAAAGCAGACTGAAGCACAAAAAGTTTAAATGGTTTGCAGTAGGTCACACAGCTAGTAAATGGCCAGGACACAAATTCATGGAGTCAGATTCCAAACAGTTAACCGTTACAGTCTAATGCAGTTCTTCAGGATAACTTTGATACCACCTCCTGCACCTGTACCCAGACAGGTGAATGGATGAAGTAGGGAGTGATACAGCAGTTTAACACCCAAAAGGTAACCCTTCACAGAGCATTTGTCATGATGAACCATCCCTCCAAGTGGTGAAATGAATAAACAATTGAAGCTCTGTGCATGTTGAATAAGTAGAGTTGACAAACACTTGCTGAGTAGAATCAAGTTCAAATTTTTGACCCACAGATCAATCTTTAAAGAACTTGAGTAAGAATCCTTGAACTGTAAGAATAGAATAACATCCATTAAGAATATATTTTCTAGCTGATGACAAAGCAAAACTTTCCTAATGCAAGGTATGAGAATATAGGCCCTGAAATTTAAAAAAAAAAAATTACAGAGGTGTCACAACTAGTTGGCCTATGTCTTACATGCAAAGCCTGATAGACTTTGCTATGACATAAAAAATGTGTTATATAACAAATAAGAAAATAAAGTCACCATATTTCTAAAACATTAAATGTAGTAACATTAAATATAATAAATGCTCATAGTTTGAACATAATTTTATGACTCTAAACCCCAACTTTGAATAACAACATGTTTTTATTATGAAGAAGATATTTCATTATAAAAACTAGGATGGAAATTATTCTATATTACCATCACAAGCATGAACATTCTCATATAAATTATCTGAGTCCATGCTGAATCTTTCCTTCTAAAGAAGTGCTTCTTACCTTTAACATTTTAATCATGTAGAATAAAATGGTTTAAGTTCATAAGGAAGAGAAAGATTGATAATTTTTAGTTAGTTAAACCTTCAAAACAGTGTGCTTTTACTTTAGATTAAAATAATCTGCAGGCTACTTTTTGGCATTGAAAGAATCTTCAAACAATAAGAGTTTTCATTTTCCAGTTGATTCTTACATTGGCAATGTGTCATACAGAAAGTAAAAAGTTTCCTATTAATTCAATAATTCAATACATAATCTATATACATTAATTCTGCCAGATGTTAACATGGAAATTATGATTATTTTTCCTTAGAAAACAAAGATTAAAAAACAAAATCCCCCAAAACATTATTTTAAAAAATAATTAAAGGATCTGAGTAAAGTTCAGAGGAGATCAACTTATATAAGAATTAAATCATGTAAAGAAAAAACTTGGATTAAAATAAATCAGCTTTTAAAAATGAAAATTTGCTCTTTTCTTTAGTGTTAATAACCTACAACCTCTTGCACTTGATATGTCCTGTGTCTCTCTTTTGCTGAATGGCAAGTCAAATTGCTAATAAACACTAAAAAATTAAGGACAAATTAGAAAAGAAAAATCACAAATCAGACTATGACTAGAGCCACACATTTATTGGTAGACTGCACAATAGCCTGCACTGTTTCTATGAGTAAAGGGGTTTATTTCATTTAAGCTTTTCTTCTCCTTGCTTCATTATGTTCTGTGGAGCCCATGATGGAAGGTTTAATTTATTTAAATGATAAAAGCTTCTTAAACTTGACAGGGAACATGGCCAACTGAGCTTTCCACTTCAAAAGTAGGACATTTGATAATAAAAGGGATATCAAAATTGAATAATTTGAATGTGTACTGAACTTTGAAATCCAATAAAGGCAAGGGGGAAAAAAAGGTTAGAATCATTTATTTAATGACATGGATTTAGTATTATGTAATTGGGAGGATAGAGGTATACTCTCTGAAATGGCTCATCACTTCCCAGATCTTTGAATCTACAGAATTGACTAGGAATTTATAGCTACTTATACAATCAAACACCAACTCCAGATTATCTGACTCTCTTTAAACCTAGTTGGTTTGGTGCTTTGGTTCCTTTTACTGTTTCTATAAACTTAGTCACTAATTCTAACTCTAGTCTTTCCAACCATTCCAACCTGAACTAATATTACAAAGAAGTACTTATCAATCACTACTGTGTGTATATCAGATGCTATAAACTTCTTTTAACAAAGGCCGCAGTGACAGAGCTGTGGCAGGTGACCATGTGTGACTGAAGGATAACAATGATACACCATGCTC